TAACAATAACAATAACAATAACAATAACAATAACAATAACAATAACAATAACAATAACAATAACAATAACAATAACAATAACAATAACAATAACAATAACAATAACAATAACAATAACAATAACAATAACAATAACAATAACAATAACAATAACAATAACAATAACAATAACAATAACAATAACAATAACAATAACAATAACAATAACAATAACAATAACAATAACAATAACAATAACAATAACAATAACAATAACAATAACAATAACAATAACAATAACAATAACAATAACAATAACAATAACAATAACAATAACAATAACAATAACAATAACAATAACAATAACAATAACAATAACAATAACAATAACAATAACAATAACAATAACAATAACAATAACAATAACAATAACAATAACAATAACAATAACAATAACAATAACAATAACAATAACAATAACAATAACAATAACAATAACAATAACAATAACAATAACAATAACAATAACAATAACAATAACAATAACAATAACAATAACAATAACAATAACAATAACAATAACAATAACAATAACAATAACAATAACAATAACAATAACAATAACAATAACAATAACAATAACAATAACAATAACAATAACAATAACAATAACAATAACAATAACAATAACAATAACAATAACAATAACAATAACAATAACAATAACAATAACAATAACAATAACAATAACAATAACAATAACAATAACAATAACAATAACAATAACAATAACAATAACAATAACAATAACAATAACAATAAAAACAATGATGATGATGATGATGATGATGATGGTTGTTGTTGTTGTTGTTGTTGTAGCAGCAGCAGAAGCAGCAGTAGCTGTAGCAGTAGTAGTAAAATTAGTATTAGTGTTATTATTAACAAGCATGTTTGCTTAGAAAGACCTCTTGTGCTGTAGGACAGGGGAAATGTTGCTATATGGATCTCTTGTGGAGGAATGTAGAAGTAAAAAAATAAATAGGAATATTTATTTTGGGGGTGGGCACAGAAACAGGTGCACCCCTCTAAAGACCAGGGATGGCAGCCCCCCTGCACATCTGGATGCTGCCTGCCCCATGGTATCATAATGGCTGAAATCCAGTAGTAAGTCACAACTACAGAAGGCCCTTTGGAATTAGTGGGGATTGGTTGAGTCAACGCCTCTGTTCAATTCCATTGATTCAAATGAGCCTGCTCTCGCTGTAACTTACTCCTGGATTTCTGCTAATGATAGTGAAACCTGTGAAGTGAAATGACAGCAGGAACAGTGGGCAGTTGTTTCATGTTCTCAGGATCTCACCAAAAGGAGAATGCCTTTTCTAAAATAGGCTAGGGGCTTGTAGCATCATCTTCACACTCACCCCCAACACTTTTTCCTTTGGAAATCAAGCACATTTTTTCCCTCTCTCTTTCTCTCTCTCCTTTAATCATAAAATCATAGAATAATGGAGTTGGAAGGTGAGCCTATAGGCCATAGAGTCCAAACCTCTGCTCAAGGCAGGAATCCAAGTCAATGACTGAGGTCATTGGTTCCCTTGTTGTCCTGCTCTGTTATCCCAAGCTTGACTACCTCGTCCTGCATTATGGTGGATCTCACCCCAAACCTGGGAGACAAACAAGAGTAGACTTCAGTCTAGATTGGCCGGGGTATGTATGTATGAATGAATGAATGAATGAATGAATGAATGAATGAATGAATGAATGAATGAATAAATAAATAAATAAATAAATAAATAAATAAATAATGAAAAACGTCCTGTCTCTTATGCTTCCCCCTCTCCTTTCCCTGCACTTTTCAGTCCTCTTACTCCCAGCTCTTCCTTCACCCCCATTGGTGGTCCGTGTGGGAGATTCTCTTTCTCTTCCCATCCCATTCCCATTCCCCGCTGTTCAGATTCAGACGACAATTATCTGGAGGAAGAATATGACCATTGTTGCGATGGGGGCTTTGCATCCCAACTTCACCATTATGATAGCCCCCTACTTCCAGTCTCAGGTCAGTGTGGATCCCATGCGAGGCAACCTTAATATCACAGCAGTCACTGTGGCCAGCTCTGGCATTTACACCGTGGAAATCTTCCCCTTGGGGAGTTCCGTGCAGAAGGCAAACATCACCCTTAGAGTCTACGGTGAGTAACATGTTTAAGCTGCAGTGATGTGTTGAGCTTCTTACGGCTGTTTGGTCAGGGTGCCAGGATGATGGTATCCCAATTCTTGAGGGATGAAACCAAGGAAGGGGATAGTGTGACATCACAGAGGTGGGGCAGCCAAGAGTTTGAGGGCCTGCAGATCCTGGAAACAAGCACTGGGATGATCTGGGTAAGCAAGTTCAGGATATGGCTAACCCTCTAATAATTCAGGTAAGATGGCAGCCCAGAGCCAAGATAAAGTGAAGAGATCATTTTTGGTGATTGGGCAGGAAGGGAAATACAGTGGTGCCTCGCTTAACGAGCGCCCCATTTAACGAAGAATCCGCATAGCGATTTGTTTTTTTGCGATTGCAAAAGTGATCGCATTGCGATCTTTTTAATGGCAAAAAAATCGCTTTGTGATGATCGGTAAGCTGTTTTGCTTACCGTTCTTCGCATAGCGATGTTTTAAAAACAGCTGATCGGCGGTTCCAAAATGGCCACCCGCAGTGTTTTTGCGCCCGTTCCTCGCATACCGGGCAGCGAAAATGGTGGCCGTATGGAGGATTTTCGCATAACTGTGAGTTTTAAGCCCATAGGAACATATTAAATGGGGTTTAATGCATTCCTATGGGCTTTTTGTTTTCGCATAGCAACGAATCCAGATAGCGACGATTTTTCTGGAACGGATTATCATCGCTATGCGGGGCACCACTCTATGTCTTCTTGTCATCTGGTGAACAAAGGAGATGGACATCAAGTGATTTAGCAGGCAGGAGGGTGGGTAGACTGACTCTCGAGTTCACTGTTTAGAAATGGGGGGAAAAGAGAAGTATCATTTCCTACTCCCGTGTGTTTTCTTAGAGGAGGTGGGCAACGTCTCTGTGACTCCACCTTCGGCAGAGGCAACAGAAGGAGATGAATTTGTCGCCTTCAACTGCACCCCTGTCCGAGGTTCAGTCTCCTGGACTAAAGATGGAGAGAGTCTGAGTGAACACCCCCGATATTTGCGCTCTGCTGGCTACCTACGAATCGGGCACCCAGTACGAACAGACGCTGGCACTTACCGTTGCATCATCTCCAACCCTTTTGGCAACGGGACTGGCACTGCTAATCTTACGGTCTACTGTGAGTATGCCCTAGAGGTCTTGTGTTTTGTTTCAGGTGCTACAACAGTATGAAGTAGTGGTTAGAGTGCTAGACCTAGACTGGGAAGTCTTAGGTTCAAAGGCAACCCAGCTGAGATACAAACTGCACAGGTTGGCTTTGTACCCATTCCCATCTGTCAGCCTAACCCAGTTCGTAGCGTGTTGTGAAAATAAGTTGGAATGTAGAAAATGGGCTGTCTTCTTCCTCGATTCTTTGGAGAAAAGCTAAACAACAACAGAAAAAATACCCATATTTATGCTTCTGGGAAGCCTTGTTCCTAAGGTCTGGAAAGACAGGGGTAATAATGCATCAGATGGGTTGGTGCGTCAATTTCTCAATACAGTGGTGCCCCATATAGCGAGGTTAATCCGTTCCGGATTAACCTTCGCTATGCGAAAACATGGATGACCCGAAATGGCCCCCGTCAGTGTTTTCGCGCCCTCCCCTTGCTTACCGAGGTCGCGAAAATGCTGCGGGGGGCCATTTCGGGTCATCCGCGGTCATTAAAAGGGATCGCTATACGGATTCTTTGTTGTACGGTGCGCTCGTTAAGCGAGGCACCACTGTACGTTCCATGGATCCAAATGGACCTACTACTCTAATTGTGACTTAAGACAGTAAAGATAAATTGGAAGTTGAGTAGTCCTAGTTGAATCAGTTGAACAGACAGAAGAGCTGACTCCCTGCTAATTCAATGGCCCTACTCCAGTGCAACTTACTACACTAAGCAACAGGATTCCAGCCACAACTATGTAATCAGGTGTACGTCAGATAGGGTGACCCTTGGCACACACATTCACACTCCTTTGTTTTAACCTGTGCCCAAATAAATCTAAACGTTTTCACGCCTTCCAGATCTGGCCAAATCTAAGAAGGGATAGCATGAATTCATCTCTGAGAAGATGGGACCTGCCAGTGTTCCTCTTTTCTTCATTTTCACGTAGATGGTTAGTGGACAGACGGCCGTCCTACAGAGCAGAGATCGTGAGCAGAGTCTTGACTGCAGTTCTGCAGTTTAACCACTGTAATGATAACAAAATAATAATAATAATAATGATTTTTATATCCACCAAAGCTGCAATGCAAGAAGACACTCTGGTCAAAGGATGTATAAATTATCATGTGCTCTTTATGCCAAATGAAAAGCCCAACACATTTTGGCTTAGCCTTTTCAGGTTATAATGAAACTCTATGAAATGCTTAAATTATTGTCCCAAGAAAAAAAAGATGTTATATGTGGATTTTTCCCCCTGTTTTGCTTCATATAATATAGCGCTTGAAGAAGGCTGAAAAGCCAATATGCATCAGGCTTTTAATTTGAAATAAAATTCACACTAAAATTTTCACATCTTGGGATCAGAGTTTAACTACTGTGCAACAAGGCCCCCTATTTTTAAAGGTCTTTTATTTATTTCACTAGGTAGGTAGGTAGGTAGGTAGG